TCAGGTACTTTATCACAGTGTTAGATACCTACTGGGAAAAATGTAATTTACAATATTCAAAATCAACATGTAGAAACACATTTAACTTTTTTGGTTCTGATCCTCGGGCTTGAACTCAAGTCCTGTGCACTGGACTTGAGCTATTTTTGCTCAAGGATAACATTCCACTACCAGAGTCACAGTTCTTCTTCCAGATTTTTGGAGGTTAATTGGAGATAAAATTCTCACAGACTTTCCTGTGTGAGCTGACTCTAAACTATTATATTTCCATATAAGCTCTATTAATTGGTAGGATTATAGGAGAAAGTTGCTGGCATTCAGCCAGGTATAAATTTAAAGGGTGACTCTTGCTGATTTGTGTGTGCTTAAAATTATTAGGGTAGATCCAACTCACCTCTGTAGTTCCAATGGCCCACTCTACCATATCTTCAGATAAAGACAGTTGATTACCATGTGGAGCATATGGAGAAAACTTCCCTATCCTCACTGCAAGTTCCAAACCTTCTGGAAAATTCCAAATGTTCAGAATGTCATACTCTGGCTCCAGTTTCCTTTTCTCATCCCAAAAATCATTTGAGCTCTAGTTGGATTGTAAAACTGGATGCTCTTCAGAAAAGTGTGCAGCTAAAAGAGAGACATCATCTGTGGTTAAGTGAATCCCAGAGTTAAGACAGAAAACATGAAGTAAGAAATGCTCCTGATTGCCTTTAATCTCTGATTCTGAATTCAAAAAGAGTAGAGACACCCAATGAAGTATCTCAGAAGAAAAATCTATGGAGGAATTAAAAATAATCACTTCTTTCCTGATCACTCAGAAAAGTAGTAGACTTTTTTCCAGAGAAATCATTTTAGCCCGTCTTGCCACAACCACTGTTTTATGAATGTCTATAATTTGTGGTTGTTAGATGGTTAATGCCAAAAGTTGAATGAAACTTGGTCACTTATAAAAAATATGGATAATTTTCTTCATTTTGTTATCCTATGATTTGACTGAATAAAGTCATAGGGAAATGCTCTACTTGCAGCTTTCAAAACACTATCTATGAACATGTTGAGGTTATTAATAACTAATGGAATTCATGAGCAAGTTCCTGTCGGCTTATGGATGTAAACCGAGCTGTGCAGGTGGCTCAGTTCAGTATCATGCTTGGAAACCAGCTTAGGCAGAAAAGTTCGTGAGAATCATGTCTCCAATAAACAATTCAGAAAAAGCCAGAAAAATGCTGTGCTTAAGTGCTTGAGCACTAGCTTTGCACATAAAGAGACTCAGACACTTGCCAAAATTAATTTATAGAAAGATGGAATATATTTTATCCTTGTTACTGGCAGATTGTTTTCTTAACAGCATATCCATACATATCTAGAATACTTCAAAGACACTGAAACAAAGAATCATATAGGGTTTTGAAAAACACCTGAAACATTTAATTTTTAAAATGTAAATCTACATTTTTTTCAATTTTTGTGCTTATGGTTTTTTCTAATACTAGAAGGTAAAAAGTTTAAGAGTTGAGAGAATTACTTCAGATATTGAAATATCCATTAATTTCAACAACCAAGTTATGTGTGACATATGAATAAAAACATACATATATATTTGTGAATATAAATACACATCATATATGCATATACATATCCAGGAACACACATGCATACATACAAAAATATATAATTTCATACATTAAGGAACCACTCTAGAAAGTGCTTTTGCTCATAGTGTGTTCTCCAACATGGAAGAAATTACCTGTTCAGGGGAAGGCACTTTCTCTTTTCTATTGTCCATTGTTTGAACTTCTATTTGATGAAGAAGCATCGAATGGAGAGTCTGGGCCACAGCATACACAGCGTTGTAAACATTGTAACTGTCTCTAGACATAGTCATATCAAAAATATGTACAGGCAACAAATCCAAAGAGGCATCATGAACACAGTTGTCCCATGTCACACAGTCAGACTCAGAAGCTGAGCAATTAAAAGACAGAAACCACAGTCTGGCAAGAAAAATGTCTTCTGGGTATTTTGAAGGCTTAGCTGCCTTTATAAAATCTGTGAATCCAGAAACATCTACATAATGGTGTGTAAAAATAAGAGGTACATGCAATGATCCTAGCATGAAATATCTCCTTTTCAATGAGAAATCCCACTGAGAGTTCATAATGCAAACTTTCCCATGTATAAAAATTTGCTCGATAAATACCACTAAACTTATCAGTGAATCATTATCACCATATATGATGAGAACACTTGCTGAAGATAGATTTATCTCATTATGAACTGCCATGAGTTTGAATATATGTGACACATCTTGGGATGAGATCACTAGCTCATAGGCTACACAAACTCTGTTCTTGGCCATCTCTTCTTTCAATTCAACAAGAATCCACACACCATTCTCATCTTGTGAGGTCAATAGTCCCACCCAGTTCCAGCTGAAATGAAGAAGTAAGGAGACCATGGCAGTGGCTATTGTTGTGTCTTTGGGGGCCATCTGATAGAGAGCAGGAAACTTGTTATGATCACTCAGGCCACGATCAAAAGGCCCAAAGGTAAACTAAAGAGAAAGAAAATTGGACACTCCATGAATGAGAAGATTGCCATGTACCACAATCTTAGTCTTGAAGTCTGTTAAGGAACAGTTGAAGTAGGTGGAAGGTAGGTTTTATTTCAGTTTTGAAAAAAAAAATATTTTGTTTTTGCACAACATATCAATTGACTTGTAATTATCTCTCGACACTATTCCTATCAACTCTTCTCAACTATATCAACCTCACCTACCCCTAATTCCGTTTTCACATATGCCTGTTGTATATTATGTTTTTTTCACCAACAACCGATTCCATATTCCTTTGCATTTTTCCCTTAACACCTGTCCCACTCAGACAAGATTTTCTTCACGTTTTTGGTGTTCATTTATCATGCTGTCAGTAGATCAGAAAAGTTCCACCATGGAGTTCTGCCCCTATGTATATCATACTTTTGTCAGATTGATCATCTACATGTGTAAGTGGCTATGTGTATCTTCCATATTTATTTCATATTAAATATTCATATTTTAGATCTAACTTTCAAATAAGACAGGACACATTTACCCTTTCTTGTTTCAAGTCAGATTTACTTCATTCATCATGGTATCTTTCGTTTGTGTGTGTGAGTGTGTGTGTCTGTGTGTGTGTGTGTGTGTGTGTGTGTACGTGAATGCCAGTACAAGGGCACAAATTCATGACTTCTTGCACTTCACTGGCAATATTCCTAAGAGTTGTGCTGTACAAAAGGAGTCACATATTCACCTTGTGCCCTTTGCAGGTTAATTAGACATATAAGTTACCTGATTAGCTAGGATTATAATGTGAGTCATAAGTACCTTGCTCACTCTGTACACTGCAAAGTCCGCTCCATTTCCTGATTCATTAAAGAAAATTATTGCTATCGATTGAAACAGTGAATTATCCATTTGTCTGCTCAAATCTTTTTCCAAAGTGTGCAAATATATATTTCCAACTATATTAGAGTAAATACTCTTTGATACTACAAAAATGGATGGGTTCATAAAAAGAATCTCTTCCTATCATTCTCTTCTATCACCTGAAATGCCACCAAATTAGATATTATTATATCCTTCCACAGTTGCACCTCACCTGTGGAAATCTGTAGAGTCCTAGCAATGTCCCAATCTGGTCAGATGTTATTCCTGATGGTCCTGTAAGTACTGCTATAGTCATGCTGTCTCGAATGCAGGAGTAGTTTGGAATCTTGTACTTCCCAAAGAGACAAGTGAAGGGATTCTTAAACATTGTCCAAGTTCTTAATTCAACATCATAGATATCATATCCCAGAGTCAAGTTATGTAAAAGATCAGGATTTTTGTTGATTTCCTCAATAGCAAAAGCCAAGGCCAAAACAAACTGATAGTTCTTGAACATAAAGCTGTATAATGAGCAAAGAAATTGAGGAGGAGTATTTCAAAACTTAAGACTTTAATACCTTAAATGCTTGGTTAGAATTGAATGTGAATGCAGTGTCTTATGTTTGTGTAAAGATCTACAAAAGACATGATGAGCATTTGTCATAAAT